ACTATTAGTAGACTCCTTCCTATCTGAAACTTGACTATCAACACCACTGTAGGCCAGCTCAGAATTATTCAGAAGCAGCTGCTGTGGGCTGTTGAATTGCTCAGGATCACTGTACAGTAGACAGACTTTATGTCAAGTACGGAGAATGAGTCTAGGGTAGGCCATGAGCAGTTACATAAAGACTTGACATCCAGAATACTACAATAGCTAATTAAAGGGGTAGTCAGCAGTCCGATCTGATTTCTGGTCTGGTTTCTAATCTGGTTGGTTTCGGGTTTGATTGGGTTGGTCACCCCTATAATACCCACCTTCTAGTAAAGCCTCCTCAATCTGTAGGATACTTGCCTGCACGCATAGATGATGAAAACTGATTCTATCATTCATTAAGAATGCGAGCTGCCCCCAACCATGGATAGAGACATCCCAAGGAAGGCCTCCTCGACGTCATATCTTCTGCATCTTCCAAGAAGTTCTACTGCACCACGTTACTGCAGACATCAGGTGTATGAAGGATTTAAAGGCTTCTCACGGGACTTTCAAAGCTAAGGGGGAAGGTATGCGAGGATTTGACCCCTCGGCAGTGTTGGGAAAGGCCTTGCCCTCCCTAAGTGAAGGCGGGCTGCCAATATGTGCCAAGGCCTGGGTACAGGCCAGTGTGATCACCCAAAAGGGGTTGTATATCTGCGGGGCCCTTAACAGACATGCACATATTCTGGCCAGAGGCCCTCAGCAAGCCCTGTGCCCGCCCTAAGTGCATATGTGGGTATCAGACAGTTGCAGCATGCCAGTTGGTTACAGAGCAACGTGAGCCTCTCCAGGCTCTTTCCGTAAGTTGCAGCCCCGACGGGCAGTTGAGCCCAGGGCCCCGTACAGTTAAGGCCCTGGGCGTGTGCTTTCAGAGGCCGACACATCGTACAACAGCCACGGACCAACGAGATTGCAGCATAGTCGGCACAAAGTGGCCGTGAGCCAATGAGATCACAGCGAACATGTGGAGGCCCGTGGACTGCCTGGACATGGCCAACTGTAAAGGGCCCAGGCCCGTAATTGCAACTGGCCTGGACGCAGACACTGATGCCCGAGTGGAAGCTACCGGATGCTCGCCCAGCCAGGCCCAGAGGCAGCAGAGGCTGAGCTCACTTTCCATATAGGAAAGTGAGCATCGCTGGGCAGGTCATTCTGGCCTAGGCAGGCAATGCGGCCACGCTGTTGTGTTGCACCTGCTGGCTGGGTCGCGCACACGGGCGCTGAGGTGTGAGGTGCACAGCCGGGCAGTGGGCGCACGGCAGCCATAGCCGGGCTGCTGGGCGCAGGTCTGGATGGCGATGGTGGTCTTTGGGTGTTGAGAATGCACACTGTGGGAAGTCAGGGGTGATGAGGAGAGACGAGATACATACCTGATGCATGAGGAAGGTCAGCTATGGTGTTGACGTCATGTACATTGGTCTTCAAGGTCGAAATGAGCCTGTTGCGTGAACGCTGGTGTTGTAGGATAGGCGAGTAGTGTAGGCTGGGCGCTGGGCGCCAGACAGAGTAGGAGCGACATTGGATACGGTGTTGGTGTGGCCTGAGGGCTTGGACATCGGCCCGTGAGTCCATTGTATTGCTTTTATCTGAGTGGAATCTCGGTGCATTTGCACTCTCTGCTGGTACATGACTACTTGGGCTTCTGCGTGATTTCGCAACTTGGTTTTCTGTATATCGCTCTTGCTCATATTCCTTGCAATATTCTTTTTCGGATTTTTTTGATTTTTTTCTTTTTTCTATTTTTTAAAATATTATGTGCTGGGATCGCCCGGGACTCTGCCTGGGCCTTGCCCGGGACAGTACCCGGGCGACCTTCCCCCCAGCCGGGCCGCCCGGGGACTGACACAGCATTGAAATTGATCAGGGTTGCACACCCCGACGGTCGGCGGCCCTTGACTGGTCGGCTGCCGACCGCCGACCGATCGGCTGGTCGGCACCTAGCAGTCGGGGATCATTGGCACCCCGCACTTTTTTTTTTTTTTTTTTT